GAGAAATGACTGTGTGTGAGTAATGCCGGAGAGAGCAGTGGCTTGGTCACAACTCATGAAGAGATTGGAGGGGCGTCTCTCTCTCTCTCTCGCCGTCTAACAGTTTCTCTGTTCCAACCAACCGCTTTGATCTCCACACACACAGCCCTTCAACTACCTTCTATCCATTCTGTTTCATTAGACGAGAATCCACCGGAAAAAGAAAGGTTTCCAAACTAAAAAGACAATCGGAATGCAGCGCAAGAGAGCCTGTGTAGTCACGTCAGCATGTTAAAATGCATATGGAAGGCGCAGCCACGGTTCCTTTGAAAGTCTGAGGGAATCGTTTGAGGGCGTCAGACCCAAAGAACAGAGAACAGGAGGACGACTGTGGCCTAATTGGCCCAATTAACTCAGAGTCTCTGGTGCTTGCTGGGACAATTGGTCTTCCCCGGGCCTTCCCACTGACTCTCACGCATCAGAGGCGGGCCGACGCTTAAAGACTGTGGACTACAGAGAGAAAGAGAGAGAGAGATCACTGCAGTACGTGGTGTGTTAGTACTGACAACAGATTTACATAGAAAAAGCAACATATTTGATTACACGTTTGACGTCGCAGTTAAACGAGGCTGAAAAACGAGCGTGATGGAGGCAGCGGTTTGCCTCAAAACACACACGCACAAGCGCACAGGGAGGCCGCCACGAGTTCAAAGGTTTGCTCCGTCTCTCTCTGAGAGGGCTCTGAAAAGTCACCGCACTGTCACACAGAGAGGACGAAGAAGAGAGTCAGGAGGGTGAAGCAGGGCCTCGTCGGTAAAAATCAAACAGTCCAATTAAACTAATCATAACGAGCCAGTGAACACGAGGAAGCTCACCTGGAATCTTTTCCCTCCCCCTCTCCTGCTCTCTCTCTCGCCGTACCCTCCATAATTACCCTGGCCAAAGCGCTGTGAAATTACTGCACTGATCAACTAATGCTTGAGAAAATCTGAAGAAACGCACTGTCCCCTTTTTCTGCCTCCCTCCCTCCCTTTTTATGATTTAAAGGACTACATAAATAAAAATTATTTCCCCTCACTATCGCTCCCTCTCCCCCGCTTTCTCTTTATCGAGGACTGAAAAAGAGGAAAAAGAAACAGAGGGGAGATTCTCTTCACTTTATTTTAAAGGTCTTGTCTATGAAAGAGTGAAATTAAGTGGGGGAGACATGTTATGGGTTCAGTATAAGTTAAGATGTATAAATAGCAACTGTGGCATAATGTAACTGCCACAAAATGCATTTTGATTCAAGCATGTTTATAAATCCACAGTGTAACACAGGACCAGGCAGTAAAAATTGCAACAAAACAAGCCTGGTGTGACACAGAAACACTTTAAAATGTAAAATTACACCAGATTTTTCAACGGTTTGACATGACGACATAATTCCGCTAATCCAGAAAGGACGCATGGTGCAAACCAGTGTTGTTATTGTTAACTAAAACTATTAAAATCCTTTTTCATTAATTGAAATAAAGCTGAAATAAACGAAAATATAAAAGCTGGATAAAGTTTTAAATTAAAGTACTAAAATTACTAAAACTAAATAGAAATACTTACAAAAATTAAACCACACAATTATAAAAAATAAATAAATAAATAAAAAAAATTATATATAAGCCAAACTGATGCATGCCTTAGAAGTTCAACATCTGGACCTCTAGTCTACTCCAGTCAGCACACACAGCATGTGAAAATGCTAAAAAAAAAAAAAAAAAAAAACTACAATGCTGTAAATGTTACCAAAATAACAATCCACCCACAGGAATAACAAGAAGTTCGACCACATAGAAAAGTATGTCCGCTTCAAGAAAGATGGTGTTTGTGACTTTACAATTGAAAATGAAATTATGCATGTGCTTTTATTTAAAAAATAAAAAATAATAAAAATACATAAATGAGATTCACATTGCATCTTTTAAAATTTCTGGAATCACTCTGTAAGTGTGTTACTAGCCTAATATTTGCCTTTGTTAAAAAATGAGGATGAGATTTAATTATTTTGCTGTAGTCAACACTGTCACAAATGTTGTCAATAGCACTTAACTTAAACCTGGAACATTCATTTAAGAGTGTATGTGTATACTAGCATGAAGGGGGTGTTGTGCCGCTGTGCTTTTTCTAATTGTTCATTAATTAGCGATTTGCTCTCACCAGGGGGTGAAGAACATGAGAGCGATTCAGAGGTTTGGTTCTAATGGATTGTGAAGGCCACCTACCCATAGTACAATGACCACTACTAAACAATTTATACCTTTATCCTACTATCAAAGGCCTAAACACACACATATACAGAGTTAGCAAAGAGTAGGAAAGCAGGAGACAGAAAGTGAAGCAGAGAGAAAGAGAGAGCGAGAGAGACAGTGGTGGCAAAGATCAAAGCAAGAGAGCCAATGCAGCACAATGAAGCACAATTAACATGGCATGTAAAAGAACAAGAGAAACACACACACACACACACACACACACATACACAGAGCAGTTCTGATGAGAGGGGTGGGCTCACTGATGGGCCCGTTGAAACACACCACTGCCCGAGGACAATGACTGGCCCGCTGGCCATCCTACACACTCTCACACACAATCAAATCTGTATGCTAACTGCTAACAATATTGTACACATGGAGAAGCAGTGCTTCATTTAAAAGACCCCTTTTTGACAAACATTTATCCTGTTGAAAGTTGGGGCAGGATATTGAAGGGCTAGTTGCACCAAGGCTGCATTTATTCAATTAAAATCACAGTAAATACCTTAATATCAAGCTGAATATTAACTGTAAGACGATTCAAACCTTCCCTGTTTTTCTATATATCATCTAAATGACAGAATCATTTAGCCCCTGGTAGTAAAAAAAAAGGCACACAGTATTTCGGCCCATGCTAAAGTGCGCAACTGAAAAGCTCACTAAACCCCAATGACTTCACTCTCTCTCTCTTTCTTATCCATCCTCACTTTCACCCCTCCATCTCTATCTCTGCTTTGAAAGAATGGAGCAAGTCTTAATTTAATTAAAATATTCCCTCTGCATGCTAAAGCGTAAAGTCTCTTCTTAGTGGAGGAGCTTCATGCAGAGGCCAGTGATAAGATAACAGGGCCTACTAATCAAAACAAGACATCAACTAATCTAATCTAAATCACTAACAATTACCAGCGTGCCAAGCCACGCTCCCTTTTGATCAATGTTTTCTATTAAAAAGTGAAACAATTCAATATTCCGGCACGCTAATGCACTGAAGCCTCATTAGCACATCGTCCTTGGGATGGAGGCGTTGCAAACGCACACACAGACGCTAATTCGTGGTTAATTTACGGGACGAGGACCATCTCCCCTTCATCAGAGCGCAGAGGACTTTTGCAGGCGAGAGAGACTATGAGAAAAGAAAATATTTTTCTTTAATTTATGGCAGCATCACACTAAGGTGCCTTCTTGTTCCTGTTCTTTGCTTTCTTATGCATTTCATTCAAGGGCATCTCATTTCCTTTTAAAATTCATACAGCAAAACGTCTGAATAAATCCGCCACACGCCAGATATTTCATCATGTCCTGAAAACCCCTCCCCCGTGGTTCTGTATGTTTATGCCACTGATTTCACACTATTCTTCCTCTAAAACAGGATGTCAGGAGAACTGAAATGTTATTCGGATGTGGCCTGAGCTTTTCGACATCAAGTGTCAGCCATCCTGCAGTACTGAGCTCAGTAGAGCATGTTTATTTAGCGTTTGATGTTCTCTGACTGGTCACTTCCTACATCACTACCTGGAGTCCTTGAGTAACCCTTAAAGACTTGTCCTGTGTGAAATGAGAGACTCTAGCTTGCAGGCTCTTGGCTACAGAATAATATTACTCTCCATTACTTCCTGTCTGACGGGACAAAGGAGCATCCTGAGAGGAGTTGGGAATAGTGTTAAGAACTTATGTGTGTATACGCACTTATAAATATGTATATGGAAGAGCTTATACATAAAAAAAACTGTGGGAAAATCCACAATTGAAACATACAAAAATACTGAAAGGTTAACGTTTACAGGAGGTTTGAGTTTTAGCCATAACTATAATTACCTGTATATACACTACCATTCAAAAGTTTTAATTAATTCTTCTAATCAGCAGAGACACATTAAATTGATCAAAAGTGTAAGTAAAGACTTTTATAATGATCTTTAAATGCTGTTTTTATTATCTTCCTATTCCTATACATTTATTTCCATTCCTGGTGGAATGACCTACCCAACTCAATTCGAGCAGAGGAGTCCTTAGCCATCTTCAAGAAATAGCTAAAAACACATCTCCTCCATCTTTATTTGACCCTCTAACTCTAGCACTCTCTATTCTAATTCTATTTTATCTATTTGTTGACTTGACCCTCTAACACTTGCACTCTCTATTCGTTTTCTAACTGCTTGTTTTCTTTTAAAAAAAGGCCTTTAACACTAGCTTTCTCCATTCTTTTAAAAAACCTTGCTACTGTACGTGTACTGCATGCTAACCGAGACTTGTTATAGCACTTGCATATTATTGCTCTTTTGTTGGTTTTGATTGCTTCTATTGTCATCATTTGTAAGTCGCTTTGGATAAAAGCGTCTGCTAAATGACTAAATGTAAATATAGTTAACATTAATGTATTAACTACTGAGAAATGCATGTATTTATTAATCATTGATAACATTAGTTAATAAAAATGCAGCTGTTCATTAATTCATGTTCGCTCAGGTCAAATAAATAATATTAACAGATACTGTACAACTTTTGATTTTAATAAATTGAACTCTAGCTAAGATTGATAAATGCTGTACAAGTATTTGTCATTGTTAGTTCATATTAATTAATGTAATTAATGATAACAAATGGCATCTTATTGTAAAGTATCGCCAAGAAATGTTTTTTGAGCACCAAATAATTTGACTGGAGTAATGGCTGTCGATGTTGATAACAAAGAAAAAGTGTCTATGTGTGTGTGTGTGTGTGTGTGTGTGAACTCACATCAATAATCTGTGGAGTTTGTGTAGGTGACTGTGCATTAGTGGTGCTTTTGTTTCCAGCCTTCATGGCAGCATCTCTACGGGCCTGTTCCAATAGCAGCCTGGCCCTCTCCTTCAGCTCCTCTTGACGAGACAGGACCTTCTGCAATCCACAGAAAGAGGTTTCATTCAATTTTGAGTGTAACAACGTTTTACTTTGTATAACCACTTTGCATAAGCATGATCTGTTTCACCTTCTCTTCACTGGTGTTAGACACTGGGGCGGGTATGACTTCCTGAAAAAACATGGAAAAAAACATAACATAAGAACAAATCTGTGTATGCCCTATCACCCTATATGTTGTGTGAGTCAGATTAGCATCTCTTCCTAACACTATCAAGCTTTGCGCTCTCATTACGGGCTCCAGCAGGCAGCTGATTGGCTGATTGGCATGGCGGTGATTCTGTCAGCTGAGGAGACGTTTGCTCCTGATCACTGTTAACATTACGGGTGAGAACGGGTGTAAAACAAAAAAAAATTAAGGTGGTGCCAAGTAACTGTCGCCATGGTAACGCACCTCTCATGTCACAGCTGAGGCCTTGATGACATGTCAAAACAAAATCAGGACAAATCTAAGCCGGGAAGTAATTCAGTGGAAGAAATTACAGTGATACATGGCGAGAGTGTGATAAAAGTTGGTTGTGCTGCAATACCTGCAAGTGTGTGTGTGTGTATGTGTGTGTGTGTGTGTGTGTGTGTATGCTGTATAGATGAGGAGAGGCTCTCATGCGGAACACGCTATAACCCGTGTCAGTATTAAAGCTGCAGGCGGGACGGCCCGAACATAATGACATGCCACTCCGAGTGACACGCGGCTGCTGTCTGTGCCGATCAGGCGTCTCACAAAATGGCAAAAATATCAAACATGTAAAAAGCTTCAAACAGTTTTATGTGCTTTGATTTTATATGGCAGCTTTTCCCCTTTAAGTTGTAACTGCTGTTCTGTTGGGAGTGTTCAGGGGATTATTCATTTAACATGCATGTATATCTACCTGAGTTTGTTAACTCAAATTGTGTTTCTGTGTATTTATGTTTGCTTGCTTGTTTTGGACCATTAGTCCTCTGCGGTTTGGTCATTTTGAATGCTCAACAGGATTCTCGCACTTTTTGACCAATGAATTTCCATAATGTTTCCATGACTTTTCCAGTCGTTTGTGACGTTTAAATAATTTTTACATGACACACACAAAGTGTCATTTTTAATCAATTAAACACTTTGGTACTGAGTATAAATATGGTAGAAGTTATTTCCATGACTTTCCTAGGAAATTTTGAAATTCCTTGATATTTCCAGGTTATCCAGAATCTTGGGAAGGAGGGTTGTGTGTGACATTAAAAACTGATGATTCCAACTCAACTCTTGAATTTTAATTGAAATTAAATTAATGGGATTTTTAATCAGAAAAAATAAAAATAAAAAATGTTGAAAAAAGGCTCAGAAGTTTTAAGGTTTACTGACCTTAGGGAGAAAGAAAGATTTAATAGAATGACAGAAAGAATAATATATAGAATCGTAGATTGATAGAAAGAATGATAGAACAGTAGAATGATAAAATAGATATAATGATAGAATGACAGAACGATAGATACAATGATATAATGACAGAACAACAAAACAACAGTACGACGGACGGACGGACAGACAGATAGATAGATAGAACATTAGATAGAATGAGAGTCAGACAGATATAACAATATACAAAAAGATAGAATGAACAAACAACAGACAGAAGGTTTATAGACCTTGGGAAGAGAAAGACAGACAGAAGGACAAAAAGAATGACAAAGAGCAAGAGACAGACAGACAGACAGATTTTTACATGACACACACAAAGTGTCATTTTTAATCAATTAAACACTTTGGTACTGAGTATAAATATGGTAGAAGTTATTTCCATGACTTTCCTAGGAAATTTTGAAATTCCTTGATATTTCCAGGTTATCCAGAATCTTGGGAAGGAGGGTTGTGTGTGACATTAAAAACTGATGATTCCAACTCAACTCTTGAATTTTAATTGAAATTAAATTAATGGGATTTTTAATCAGAAAAAATAAAAATAAAAAATGTTGAAAAAAGGCTCAGAAGTTTTAAGGTTTACTGACCTTAGGGAGAAAGAAAGATTTAATAGAATGACAGAAAGAATAATATATAGAATCGTAGATTGATAGAAAGAATGATAGAACAGTAGAATGATAAAATAGATATAATGATAGAATGACAGAACGATAGATACAATGATATAATGACAGAACAACAAAACAACAGTACGACGGACGGACGGACAGACAGATAGATAGATAGAACATTAGATAGAATGAGAGTCAGACAGATATAACAATATACAAAAAGATAGAATGAACAAACAACAGACAGAAGGTTTATAGACCTTGGGAAGAGAAAGACAGACAGAAGGACAAAAAGAATGACAAAGAGCAAGAGACAGACAGACAGACAGATAGACAGATAGACAGATAGATAGATAGATAGATAGATATTTGTGTGTGTTGACATTTACCTGTGTGAGTTTAGCAGGTGTGTGTGTGTGGTTGGTCTGGGCACTGCTGTCAGATTCAGAGTGGCGCAAACTCGCTCTCTTCTTCTTGATAAGATCAGTGTCTCTGTTATACGTGAAGCCCAGTTTGTGTGTGTTCGTTAGAGAAGACCCGGTCTGCCACGTGGGTGACCCAGATTCAATTTGTCTTTCACCAGGCCGTGGGGTCTCGTGCTGCTCCCTGGAGTCTCTGGTGTCAGCAGCGGTCAACCCACCTGATTGCCCTCTCTCCTTTTCTCTCTCCAGCCTGTGAGACAGATCACCCATGTCCAGTGTATCGGCTTTGAGGAGTTTTTTCTGTTCTGCAGCGGGAGGTTGGCTGGTGGAGGTCTCCAGGTTGGTTCTGGTGCTTTGGGCGGATCGTGGGTGAGGTTCAGTGACCGTTGTAGCTACTGTAGAGTCACGGTCTGCTGTAGTCGCCCATAAAGATGGAGCTACATCTTTTAGAACTTCCCTTGGGGAGGTGGATAGAGAACCACATCCCCCAACTGTCATGACTGACTTCACTTCCTGCTCTTCTTTAACACCATGCCCACCATTGGTTGCTGCGGCACCCTGATTGGTGGGCTCTTGGTGAATGTCGTTAAGTTCTGCGTAGAACTTGTCTTGGTCGATAGAACTGTTTGTATCCGTTTCAAAGTCTCCAACTTTGTATGTGCTACGACTGCTGTTGGCTTCGATCTGCACAACATTGAGTTCCTCTCCGCTGAAATGTGCCCGGATCTGATACAGGTACGTCATCACTGTCAGCTTATCCGGGATCGCCAGTAGAACCATGTCAGACGGCTCCAGAAGCCGAGAGATTCCCAGACTGGCGAAGCCATCATATGCCTGCATACACAAAAAACAGATGATGTTTAAAATCAAGCATAGAAAATAAAGGGCGGTATAAAATAAAACAGTACATAAAACAAGAACTGGTGTACAAAAAAGAAGGATTGATTGAAGGAAAAAAATTGACTGATTTCATTTCAGCTGTGTCAATCCTTCGCAGAACCATTAACACGGTTGCTGAAGGGTAAATAGCTGAATATAGGGTGCAAAATGTACTTTATTTTTCTAAACTAAACTAAACTAAACTAAACTAGAATTAATCTGTCAACCAAATGCATCAAAATTCATCAAAACTAAAATAAGTCTGGGTCAGACAATAATTCTTCAAAATAAATAAACAAATAATAAATGATAAATAAATGAATAAACAATAGAATATGTGATAGAACATGACAGAATGATTGACAGACAGAAAACAGATGAGATAAATAGATATCTTCAAAATAAAATTTTTAAAATTTAATTAAATTCTATCAAATTAAAAGTAAATAAATAAAAAATCCGGGTTAGTCTATAGGGC